TATGTCCATGCCTCTCTCTTGCTTTGTCACAGCTTACCCTTCCCCCTCCCCATATCCTCAAGTCCATTCTCTAGTAGGTCTGTGTCTTTATTCCTGTCTTACCCCAAGGTTCTTCATGACATTTTTTTTTTCTTAAATTCCATATAACCAGATCTTTTAAACTTCCTCAGTGAAAGAAGTTTTGAGCTTGGAATTAAAATGTCAAAAATTAATAAAATAAGTACTCAAAGTAATTTTTAAATAAAATTATTAAAGATTTTTCTTAAAAATTTACTAATGTATTAAGTGTACGTTATTAAAATAAATGCTATATATCTTTAGATTTAAAAATACAGTACCTTGACAATTTTTCAAATATTGATTTTGAAGTGCTAAATACTCCCAAAGGCAAGAGTTGCAGGATGAATACTAGCTCAGTGCTGCACGTTTGGCACCATCTCACAGCTTTGTGACTGTGGTTTGTTAGGCAATTTTGGTTGCAAAATATAGAAACCCAAACATGTGACCTCAGGGAAGAGGGTGTTGGGGTTTGTTCTTGTTTGTTTGGTTTGTAAAGAATACATATGTAAATCAGAAAAACTGAAATCTCAGCCATGATATCCGGCTTCCTTCCTAGGAATAACAGGAAAGTTGAACAACAAAGCTTCTTAGGAGGAGAGGAATGCCAATTGAATTGGGCTTTTCGGAACACAGAATTTGAAGGATATTCAGAACCCAATGTATCAGTAGGACTTCTCATCCTGCTGGAGCATCCCAATCACCTGAGGAGTGTTTTAAAAATACAGATTTTGAGGTCCCATCTGCAAAGGCTCAGGTCTAGTACACTTGGGGAAGTTCTGGGAACGCTTTGTTTTTAAAAAGATCCCAGCTAGATTTTGAATGCCCTGCTCTCCGGGTTGCCTGGGTTGCCTCTTCTCTTGGTGTCTGCTTCCTGATCAGCACACTACCAGTTGATTCCCTCAAGATTCTTTACTATAGGCTCAGTGCCTCACCTCCTTCAAGCCTTAGCTCAAATGTCACCTTCTCAGTGAGGCTTTCCCTATTCCTGTGATTGAAAGTCGTACCCCAGCCCCTGGCACTTTCTAGTTCCCTGCCCTGCATAATGTTTATCCAACAGTTACCACCTTCTAATACAATATTTGATTTACTTATTTATTGTTTATTGCCTGTCCCATTTACCAGAATGCAAGGTCCATGCAGAATTTTTGTGTATTTTGTCCATACTGCATTCCCAGAACCTAAAACAGGAAATTCTTAATAAATATTTGTTGAGCAGATGAGTGAATGGATGTTTTCTGCTTAGTAATTGGCTGACATTATCTTCTGCTCACTGGTGATGTGTCAGAGCCCTTCTCACCCATGGCTACCATCTGTGCCTCCCTTTGGGTCCAGCTTCCCCAGTTGATTGTCTGATTGGACCAACCCTTTTTTCTTCTTCTTTTTTATTTGGGTGGGGGCCCACCACGTGGCATGTGAGATCTTAGTTCCCAGACCAAGGATTGAACCCTCGCCCCTGCATTGGAAGCACGGAGTCTCGACCACTGGATCACTAGAGAAGTCCTTGGACCAGCTCTTTTGGATTGAGTGTTTTTCCCAGGTCATTTTTGAATGGGTGTGAATTGGCTGTTTTAACAGGTCAGGTGCCCTTCCAGGAGTAGTCCACAGAGGCACAAAAGAGTACTGCCTGGGGCCCCCCCTTCAGCAGGGCGTGTGGGTGGGGCATTTTCTCCAAGAAGCCTATTTTGGTGCAGAGTGAGTGTTCAGCAAGTTACTTGACCCTGCTGAGCTTCAGTAAGACTGCATTAACAGTGCAGGTCTACCTTATCTCAGTGAGTTCTTCAGAAGTTCCAGAGAATGATGTTTGGGAAACATATGCATATAAAATATTAACTTATTATAAAAATAAAATGAATGTGAGACGTTACATAAATTCAGATGACATTTAAGTATGGCATTTAATAAAAAGCCTAAGGGAAGTTGTAGGGGAGAATTTAGGAATTTAAGAACGAGTTGCTTAAAGTGCTTTTGTGATTCTCCCCACCCCCCAGTCCTGAATGTCTTTCAAATGTTATTCTTATTTCACATTGATTTCTATTTGGCAGGGGATTCTGGTACATAACTTCCAAAGTGATATTTAAGACGAATAACATGCAAAGATCCACACTCAGTCTCCAAAAACAAATTGCACAAATACAGGTTGGAGGAGATATGGTTTTACAGGTGTGTATGTGTTAAAGTCCTAAGAAAGATTCAAGGGTTTTTGTTTGTTTTATGAACAGTGTGGGGTGGTAGAAAAATATGAATGTGATATCAAGCTGAATTTTGAAACATCATAAGAATGTAGAAAACTGTATTTCTTTATTCTTCTCTGTATACCTGGAATACTGGACTCAGTTCTAGATGCCACATTGTAAGAGGCACTAGGGTATGTTTAGATAAGTGTATGGAGGAGATGAATGGGGCTTGTGTATGGAAGCTGGTGTGAGAAGGCACATGTTCTGGTTGCTGACTTCAGATGTTTAAAGGCTGTATATGGAAGGGGAATTGGGCTGTTCTGTATTCAATACATCTGAGTACCAGATTCAGATTCACTGGGTACTTTAATACAATTGTATTCATACTAATGATAATGATTTAAGGTGTTATTATTTCCCCCTTTTAGAGTTGAGCAAACTCATAACTTGGAGCTGTTTTGTGCTTGTCCAAAGTCATACAGCTAGAAGTTACAGAGCTACGATATGACCACACCACTTTGGAGTTTAATTCCAGTGGTGTTTTCTACTAATACCATTGTTACCTACCAAATCTACAAAAAGACACATTTCAGTTCCAAGTAGGGACTAGCAGGGCTGTTCAAAGATGAATACTATTGTGAGGTAGTGAGTGGTTCCCTATCACTCAAGAGTTCAAGCATATGCTGGACAGCTACTTTGCAAGGATCTGGTTGTCCCTTCAATTTATACATATATAAAGAAGGATATGTTTACCTTATTAATAAAGTACTAGAAATGAAGCCTAATCATAGAGCCAAAGGAACTCCAGAGGGGAGGCTTAGTGAATTTAAGTGATTGAGCTGTGTTCATTTAGTAGTTATTGGAAAATACAGCACCCAAACTTTGTTCTCTGCATTTATAGTCTAATGTGTTTTCTGTTGCAACAGTTCCCCTTATCTAATACCTGGGTCCACACTGTTGTGGAACAAGAGGGTATGGAAAGAGGAAGGGCAGGGATATTTGGTGAATTACTATAATAGATTGTTTGGCATGAACTTGCTTTATTAAAACGAGCCAAGAATGTGAGTGGTAATAGGAGAGGGTTTAAAATGATAAACAGAGAATGCCACATGGTAAAGGAAGGAAGAACAGAATACTGTGGAAGGTTAAGTAAGGAAGGCAGGGACTGTGGATTCCAGTGTATTTCCCTCTTGTTGAGTAGATGTTCAACATCTATTTGTTGGAATGAATAGTGACATCAGTACTTGAACAAATATCTAAAGAAAACCTTCATAGTGCTGAGTACTGTGCTATGTCTGAGAGCCAAAAATGAACTAGACAAAAATCTCCATCCTTTTAAGGAACTCACAGTCTAGTAAGAAAAGACCACCAAGCAAAGCAATGGGAAAAAAGAAAGTGCTAGGGGTTATCGTAGAGAATAGATCAAAGTTTACATGAAAGCAGAAAAGAATGAATAATTCAGTGTAAGTGTGTGGGGTGAGGATATGAGGGTGGAAAAAGGACAGGATGTCAGGGAAGATTCAACGGAGGAAAAGATGCATTATCTTTATTATCTTGAAGGAGACTGGAAGTTCACCCGGTTAAATGAGGGATGAATTTCAGATGGAGGAAAATATACAAAGGCACAGACAGAGACTGTATGTGAGATGTGGTGGGAATTAAAGCTGAAGCTGAAGAGATCTGTGGATCAGATCATAAATGGCCTTGGATATCACGGTAACTGCTTGAAACTGATTATCCAGGTGGAAAGCCTTTGAAGAGGGAGGCTCTGTGTTTTTGGGGCATTCCTAGCAGTCCTTTGGAACACAAGCAGAAGTGAAATTAGCAAGGCTTGACCTAAATGGTGGCAGAGACTGATGTAGTGGAGACATTATCAGTCATAGAAATAAGAGGAAGTATTAATCCTTGGGATTTTCAATCAGAGAACCTTAGCAGAGAGAAACTTAGTTGCCTAGTTGTTGGAATGGTAAATTTTTTTCCTAAAGAAATGAGGTGATACTGAAGTGAGTGGCACAGTGAGTAATAAGTAAGGCCTGAGATTGAGAACACATGCTGCCCTGAGCCTGTGTGTATTAGCTGATGACTCTTTTGAACCGAATTCAGGAAATGACATAAAAACGATTTGTGCAAGAAAATTGGAAGAACAAGGACTCTGAAGTCACTACATTTGGAGAAAAATAACTAGTGTTGGTGAAGATGGGGAAGTAGCCATTATCAGAGGGCCATTTGTGGATAAATTTTGGGCTATCCAATGGAAAGGTCCCCAAAGGAAAACAAATGCCCTGAATCCAGCTCTTCCTCACTACAACCCATTCCCCTGCAGTTGCCTTATCCTTCAGACACATCACACGTCTCTGTGTGGGAGATCCATCTCCTGGCATCTCCTGGCAGTGGGTACTTGGGGGTAAAGGAATCCCAACAAACCCGGGATGACAACGTTAGAATTTTGAAAATCTTGGAGACCATATACTCGAACATACATATTTCAGTATGAGGACAGAGAAAACAAATGACAGGCAAGGCGTCAAGGGGAGGGGTGTCCTTCCTTAAGTCCAGGCTCCCCGACTCTAGGCCCAGTTCTTCCATAATCCCACGCTGCCTGTGGGCTTGGGAGCTGGAAGCTCGGCGGGTGGTGAGGAGAGCGGGGTCCGCCTGGTGGCGTCGGAAGCCCCCTCCTCGCCCAGCCCCCAATCCCCAGCCCCCGTGGGACTCCCAGCCCCGCCCCCTTCCCGTGCGGGCGGTGTCGCTGCGCCGCTGCTACCCGGGCGCGCGCGGGGCAGCACGGACGCGAGTCGGGCTGAGGGTGACGGGAGGTCGCCGAGCCTCCCGCGCCGCCGCCCCTTGCCTGACGCACAGAGGGGCCGGGACGCGATTTGCCGCGAGTGACTGGAGCCGCTGCCGCCGCCACCGCCTCCCGGGCCCGCTCCGCCCTCAGTCCGCCTTCCTCCCGCCTCGCCCTCCGCCTCCGCTCGAGCCTTGCTCGCGTCCCCGCGTCCTCCCCACCGCCCCGGAACGTCGGACAGCCAGCGCCAGCGCCAGCCAGGTGAGTGTGGCCGCCGCGCGGCCCGGGCGGCCCGGGCGGGAGGAGCGCGCAGGCCCAGCGGCCGGGCAGGGAGCGCGGGCGGGCGGCGGCGGCGGGCCCGGCTTTCTTCCCCAGCGTGGGCCGCGCGACTGAGGGAGGGGCGCACCCGCCCCGCCGCAGCCCCCGCCGCCACCGCAGACAAAGCAAGCGCCAGAGGTGGGAGCCCCGCGGGCGGCCCCTGCCTCCGCGCCGCCTGCCGGGTGCGGTCGCGGCCCGCAAAGCCCGGGCGGCCCGCGCGTCTCCCCTTCTGAGCGCCCTTGTTCATTTCTGGGTGAAAGGGACCCGAATCGTGCAACAGGTACGGGCGTTAGTCCTTATTTAACGGCGGGTCTTGTCAACCCGGCGTGCGGGGACCAGATGTGGCGCCCGGCTCCCGGGCGAGCCCCCGTGTCCAGCGCCCGCGGCTTGCTCCTTTGTGTGGCCGGTGACCAGCCCTGGCCGGCGGGTGGGGGACGCCCGCCCGAGGCCCCCGGGCTGCACCGAGGCTCCTGGACGCCTCCCTCGGGGTGTGGGGCTTGGCTTCTCCCGGGCCTGCGGGCTGTTAACCCCCCTCCAGCCTTTGGAGGAGTCACAACGGGAAGGGAGAGCGGGTTGGCAGGGTTATCTGGCTGTGTATTTATTTTTGTATGTGAGGTAGACTCATATTGGAAAGGAACCGCAGTCTGGCCGGCTCTTGAGGGTTCCTGTGGCATTTCACCCTGGGATGCACCGTTTGGTCCTGGTTGCTGCTGCGACTGCCGCCGTGGTTCTCTTCTTGGTGCTTTGACATCTTTCTTACACAGACATCACCCAAGAAGTTGGAAGCGCCGTTGAGGGAGTAACTCGATACAGCTGTTTGACAGGTCGCCTCTTTCTTCGCATTTTGTCTGTGCCAAGTATACCCACCATGCATGCTAGCATAGGTTGGCAGACTCTCATATTAAGATCACCACTCAAAATACCCCCATATTGGGAAGTAGTAACCCGTAGTTTTTACTCTGGCTTGATGAACCTTATTTGTTTAGATGTGAGAAACTTTTTCTTCCCCCCAAGGAAGAATACAAAATAAAGAACAATTTATCTTTGTTTACATACCTGGGGTCATGCTGTTACCTAGCTGGTTTCATTGGTATGCTATTTTAGTATAACAATACTAAAGGGAAGGAAAATATCTGCCTTCTGCTTTGAGCAATAAAGTACTTCTTTGTTCTCGAACCAGGAAGCTTTTATACATAATACTTTGTGTGGACAAAAGTTAGTGACTGACTGTCTTTACCCCATGACCAAATTCAGGAAAAAATTCCCAAAGGACTTAGAAAGCATTACACAACTCTATAGATTGTTTTTGTATTCCAAATTCGAGGAAATCATTTTGTTGTATATTTATTCAAACAATCTAGACTAAATTTAACCTTAAAAATTGGGCCTACTCTGTAAATTCCCTAGCATTAGGGAATGAATTGATTGCACTTAAAAGTTTACCAAGCATTTTAACTCCTGTGAATAATAATTGGAAGGAACTGGTGATGGACCTAGAATCTGACAGCAGAATGCAGAACATGGAAAGAGGTAGAGGTTGCAAAGTTCCATCTACTTGTGTTTTAGTTGATTGATGGGCATGTCTGAAAACTAAATGTCCACTAATTTAAAAACAAAATACTATATTTTAGCCTTTTTAAAAAATGTACTCTATAAAGACTCCTTGAACCTCTCTCTACTCCCTAAAAACAAACGATATTAATAAGGACTTTTCTTTTGAAGAAATAAAATAATACCAAATTAATCTGATCTGCAGAAAGTTTCTCTGGCATAATTAGTAGTTTCACTTTATTAAAAATACCATTCATCTGTGTAACATCTAACTTCAAAGAGCTTTCGTAGCTGTTACAAGCAGCAGGAACAGCCTCCTGAAAAAAGGATATTAACTATTAAAAAGTAGCAGAGGGACTTCCCTGGTGGTGTAGTGGTTAAGAATCTGCCTGCCAATGCAGGGGACACGGGTTCGAGCCCTGGTCTGGGAAGATCCCACGTGCCGTGGAGCAACTAAGCCCGTGTGCCAAAACTACTGAGCCTGTGCTCTAGAGCCTGCAAGCCACAACTACTGAGCTCGCATGCCACAACTACTGGAGCCCGAGCGCCTGGAGCCCATGGTCGGCAACAAGAGAAACCACTGCAATGAGAAGCCCACGCACCGCAATGAAGAGCGGCCCCCGCTTGCCGCAACTAGAGAAAGCCAGCGCGCAGCAACGAAGACCCAGCATGGTCAAAAATAAATAAAGTAGCAGAAACTTAAATTTCTAGAATAGTTTTATTAAAATATAACTCATATACTGTGGAATTCACTTTTTTAACATGTACAATTTAGTGGTTTTAGTGTATTCACAAGGTAGTGCAAACCTCATCACTAATTCAAGGAACGTTTTGAACATCCTGAAGGGAAACCCTCGTACCCATTAGCTGCCACTCCCATTCCCCTTCATCTCACTTGGCAGCCACCAGTCTACTTGCTGTCTCTATGGATTTGCCTATTGTGGACATTTCATATGAATGGAATCACACAATATGTGGCCTTTTGTGTCTTTCACTGAGCGTAATGTTTTCAGGTTTCATGCATATTATGCATGTATCAAGATACTTCCTTCTTATGGCTGAATAATATTCTACTGTATAGATACGCCATATTTTGTTTATCCATTCATCAGTTGATGGACGTTTCAGTTGTTTCCACTTTTTTGGCTAGTATGAGTAATAATGCTATGACCACTCATTTACAAGTTTTTGTGTGGACATGTGTTTTCAGTTTCCTTGGGTATATAATTAGCTATGGAATTGCTGGATCACAAGGTAACTGTAACTGTTTGAGGAACTGCCAAACTATTTTCCATAGCTGCTGCATCATTTTACATTCCCACCATCAAAGTATGAGGGTTGCATTTTCTCCAACACATGTCAAAGTTGTCTTTTTGATGATAGCCATTCTAGTGGGTGTGAGGTGGTATCTTGTGGTTTTCATTTGCATTTCCCGAATGGCTAATGATGTTGAGCATCTTTATGTTCTTATTGGCGATTTATATATCTTGTTTGGAAAAATGTCTGTTTAATTTATAGTAGTTTCTTTTTTTTTTTAATGACCTGGCTATTGTAAATAGTGCTTCAGTGAACATTGGGGTGCATGTGTCTTTTTGAATTATGGTTTTCTCTGGGTATATGCCCAGTAGTGGGGTTGCTGGGTCATATGGTCATTTTATTTTTAGCTTTCTAAGGAACCTCCATACTGTTCTCCATAGTGGCTGTATCAATTTCCATTCCCACCAACAGTGCAAGAGGGTTCCCTTTTCTCCACACCCTCTCCAGCATTTGTTGTTTGTAGATTTTCTGATGATGCCCATTCTAACTGATGTGAGGTGATACCTCATTGTAGTTTTGATTTACATTTCTCTAATAATTAGTGATGTTGAGCAGCTTTTCATGTGCCTCTTGGCCATCTGTATGTCTTCTTTGGAGAAATGTCTATTTAGGTCTTCTGCCCACTTTTGGATTGGGTTTTTTAAATTTTGAGCTGCATAAGCTGTTTATATATTTTGGAGATTAATCCTTTGTCCATTGATTCGTTTGCAAATATTTTCTCCCATTCTGGGGGTTGTCTTTTCGTCTTGTTTGTAGTTTCCTTTGCTGTGCAAAAGCTTTGAAGTTTCATTAGGTCCCATTTGTTTACTTTTGTTTTTATTTCCATTACTCTAGGAGGTGGATCAAAAAAGATCTTGCTGTGATTTATGTCAAAGAGTGTTCTTCCTATGTTTTCCTCTAAGAGTTTTATAGTGTCTGGTCTTAGATTTAGGTCTCTAATCCATTTTGAGTTTATTTTGGTGTATGGTGTTAGGGAGTGTTCTAATTTCATTCTTTTACATGTAGCTGTCCAGTTTCCCCAGCACCACTTATTGAAGAGACTGTCTTTTCTCCATTGTATATTCTTGCCTCCTTTGTCATAGATTAGTGGACCATAGGTGCATGGGTTTATCTCTGGGCTTTCTATCCTGTTCCATTGATCTATATTTCTGTTTTTGTGCCAGTACCGTATTGTCATGATTACTGTAGCTTTGTAGTATAATCTGAAGTCAAGGAGTCTGGTTCCTCCAGATCCGTTTTGTTCCCTCAAGACTGCTTTGGCTATTCAGGGTCTTTTGTGTCTCTATACAAGTTTTAAGATTTTTCATTCTAGTTCTGTAAAAAATGCCATTGGTAATTTGGTAGGGATTGCATTGAATCTGTAGATTGCTTTGGGTAGTAGAGTCATTTTCACAATATTGATTCTTCCAATCCAAGAACATGGTATATCTCTCCATCTGTTGGTATCATCTTTAATTTCTTTCATCAGTGTCTTATAGTTTTCTGCATACAGGTCTTCTGTCTCCCTAGGTAGGTTTATTCCTAGGTATTTTATTCTTTTTGTTGCAATGGTAAATGGGAGTGTTTCCTTAATTTCTCTTTCAGATTTTTCATCATTAGTGTATAGGAATGCAAGAGATTTCTGTACATTAATTTTGTATCCTGCAACTTTACCAAATTCATTGATTAGCTCTAGAAGTTTTCTGGTGGCCTCTGAGGATTCTCTATGTATAGTATCATATCATCTGCAAACAGTGATAGTTTTACTTCTTCTTTTCCAATTTGTATTCCTTTTATTTGTTTTTCTTCTCTGATTTCCCTGGCTAGGACTTCCAAAACTATGTTGAATAATACTGGTGAGGGGCTTCCCTGGTGGCACAGTGGTTGAGAGTCTGCCTGCCGATGCAGGGGACACGGGTTTGTGCCCCGGTCTGGGAAGATCCCACATGCCACGGCGTGGCTAGGCCTGTGAGCCATGGCCGCTGAGCCTGCGCATCCAGAGCCTGTGCTCCGCAACGGGAGAGGCCACAACAGTGAGAGGCCCACGTACCGCAAAAAAAAAAAAAAAATGTGAGAGTGGACATCCTTGTCTTGTT